GCAGATGCCCCAGCATGAGTGTAAAGCCTGTTTTTTGGTCAACATCCACAGCTTAGAGGTCAAGCGTTGCCAGTTTATTAGACAAAGAAATGTCAAAGTGGACCAGACAGAAAAGCATTACAATTCCACTAAGAGACGCACGTCCTCTCCGGCCTCGTCCGTCCTGTCCTTCGCTGTCCTTTTTCTTTCTGTCTTTTCCATCCACAAACTGAAACCCGATATGACTGTCATAACTGCGGCCTTGGCCAAATTCTACATCTCCATTAAAGGTCGACTGGACGACAGTCGCTCGGTTTGATTGATGGACCTGTATAAACCCTGGATCCTGCAGCGCCCCCTGACAGATGTGATGTGATGCAACCTCACTTTTCTCTTCTCAGGTGGTTCGAGCCGTTTGTCATCCAGTGGCTGGATGAGAACGAAGATGTGGCTATGGATTTCCTGAATGGAGCTTTGGAGCGGGACAAGAAGGATGGAGTGAGTAGTTGTTGGGTTTTTTTTGTTTGTTTTTTAACAAACAAAAGGGTGTTTTCTAATTCAATGACAACTTGGACTGAACTTTTCTCCTGAGGAAGAGAGAGCTGCAGGACTTTATCCACTTACACTTTGATGTTTTTGTAGCAAAATTATTATTATTTTTTTTATAGCTTTGGACTCATTTTATTAGTTGTTTTGGTGATGTTGGAAAGAGTTGACTTGAAGAGAAGAACTTTTTTATGTATTATTCATGGTGAGGAGGCGGGGTGTCGTTAAACAAAGTTGTAAAGAAGAGTTTGGATTAAAGTCTGTGTAGTCTGACGGTGCCCACGTCTTCTCTGAGATTCTTTTAACACAATATAGTTGTATAGTTGACTCCACCAGACCTTTACTGTGTTTAGTCTTAAAGAGAAAATAAATGATACAGATGAATATTCACTGTTCCATCGTCTTCACAGCTGTTTTTATGACTTCACAATCAGAGGAAGGACAGGGATTAAATCTTTACTTTTTTGAGCCGTGCCACATATTTTACATTATTAAAATACCACCGCACTAATGTCACAAATCTACAAACGCAATGGAATGTAACAATCTTCTACTTTCAATTTACTCTCAATTATCTCATCCTGTTCTGTGGAGCAGATTGTTGATATTGATGAAGGAATTGAAGAAAGACACAAAGAACAACAAGATCTCGTTCAACAGTCGAGTCTCTGTCTTTTACTGTAGCAGTCGGCTTGAACAACCAAACTCAAACAGTTGTGTTGTGAAAAATGGGACTTAGTAAAAAAAAATATCAGGCAGTAAACCTTCTGACCTCTCACGGACAAACTGACGTGCCACACGGTGGCACAGGCTCCTTATGTTGCTTCTAACCCGGTCTGGTTGGTGTTTTTTTTCTCTCTTTCTTTCCACAGTTTCAGCAGACCTCAGACCACGCCCTCTTTTCCTGTTCGGTGGTGGACGTGTTCACGCAGCTGAATCAAAGTTTTGAGATCATCAAGAAGCTGGAGTGTCCCAAAGTTTTGAGATCATCAAAAAGCTGGAGTGTCCAAACCCACAGGCTCTGGCTCACTTCATGTGTCGCTTTGCAAAGGTCAGTTTCCTGGTGACCTCTGACCCTGGGACACACTTCTCCATCCTCTCTGGAGATTGACTTTCATATTTTGGTTCTTTCATAATAATTGATTTTTTTTATTCTGAGCTGAAACTTTTCTTTTTCTCCACACAGACCATCAACAAAGTTCTTTTACAGTATGCAGCGATCATATCCAAGGACTTCCCCACTCACCTGAACAAGGAGAACGTGGTGAGTGTCTGCTCGAAGGCTACATGAGTTGGTGACAAACTGATAATGAATCAATAGAGTTGATCCTTTTTATGACCCTGAGAAACTGCTGTCGTCATAAAGTAATTCAGTCATATAAAACCAAAGGCCACGTTATATAAAAACACATCATATCAACCTGAAACCTGCTCACGTACCAAACGTTAGTGAATCAAATCATCAAATGAAACAGAGACACAAACAGTTTTTACCTGGTGACAAACGACGAATGTAAAAAAAAGAAAAACATTTCTTTATTTGAGGAGATTTATAACCTGACAAAACCTTTTTATTGACGCTCATATGAACTGGATTTTAATTTATAGATTCTTTATAGAATGTATGGTTAGTCATTTAAATTTTGTTGTGAGAGAGAGAGAGAGAGAGAGAGCATCATATAAATGTAGGTGTAACTAGTTGGACTGATTTATTTATTTGTTTTCATTTATATAAATGTAGGTGTAGCTAGTAGGACTGATTTATTTATTTGTTTTCATTTTTATTTTTGCAGCCGTGTATTCTCCTCAACAACATCCAACAGCTTCGTGTCCAGTTGGAGAAGATGTTTGAGTCCATGGGAGGCAAACAGGTCTGTGTCCTCCTCCCTGTGCATTAACAGACATGTTCTACCACATTAACCTTTGGGGAGATGGACTTTCGTGTTTCCTTACTGAAGTCCGAGCGGACGTTTAACACGGTTCATATTAAGATCTGCTGGTTTTTAATCAGGATCTGATCAGATCACGTCTGTAAATGAAAGTGTGATCTTTTCATTAGCTTAAAAACTAACTCCATCTTCACCTCAGTGTCCTCCCTTGTGTCCGATCCTAATTTTCTGCCCCCTCCCTCCATTGTGTAAAACATCTGTTTTTTCTCTTCATGTAAACCTTTCTGCACTTGTGTGTTGTTTTTGCAGCATCGTTAAATGTTTCCCTGTTTACAAGTCAGGGCTCGGTGCGGCCGTCACGACCTCTTGACCTCTTGTGACTTAGATGCATGTCTTTCTCTCCAACCTAACGCCTGTCTTGCCTTGCGTTTTGTCTCCTGTGGTTGTGTCTCCTTCTTCCTTCTCCAGGAGGAGGGGGTGGTGTCCTTCTGTAAGGTGTGTGGACTTGTCAACGCCCCCTTCCCACCATTTACCCAACGATAATAAAAAGCCCTCCCCTCTCCTGCCCTCCCTCCACCTACCATGCTCTTCTGCTTGTCACTACACCTCCGTTCAACAGCATGTGCCACAGAGCATATGGAATCTAAATTACCCATCACCCCCCTGGACAGGCTGCTCAGGCTCACCATCCCTGTGCTGCGGGGACACTCGACCCCTGCTGTGTTTCTCTCCTGCTTTATTTCTCTACGTCACGTCTCTGTTCATGGCTAATTTAGAGATCGGCTTCTTTTTTATTTCACTCCATTGTTGCCCTTTCTTCTCTGATGCAAAGAGCAAAGTCCGAGGCTCGCTGCGACGCTGGCTTTGGTTTTGATCTCCTTTATCTCATTGCCCAGGCTGCAGCTGTGAAATGCTAAAGACATTTTTTTTCCCACTCTGCCAAACAAGCTTCTCAACACTTATAGCAAATCTCTCCAGCTGTGCCTTCAGCTGATTGGATGCAAATGCCGCACAGTTAGCAGATGTAGACCTGGATGGAACCCAGGCTGTTGTTGTCTGAAGAATAATGACTCCGGGAGTCTTTATTCCAAAAGTCAGAGTCTGCGTCGTCTGGGCTAATGGACGATCAGGCTTATCTTCAGGAACATCCAGTGTAATTCCTCTTGATGATAATGATGCAGCTAAAGTGTTTGCCATTAGTTTCTTCTTAGCGCAGAATCCTCCTTATTACAGGGTTGATTCCCATCAGCAATTAACTCACAGAGGTAATTACCAGAATCTGTCATTTCAGAATGATCCAGAAAATAAAAAGGATGTTGGAGCTGGTCACCATTTTTTGAGGTTCTATCCTGGTAGCTTTCATGTCTTCTTGGTGGTGTTTTAGTTTTAGTTTTTCATCAGGGAAAGCTCCAGGAAAAATAGACGCACTGGTGAAATGGAAAATGGAAAATCAAAGGTGCAACAGAGATAAAAACCAAGAGGTTCAGGTTGAATTTCTTCATCCTGGACGACAGTCAGGGATAAATTCAACTACGATGAAGCGCGATCCTTCAAAGATACTGAAATAATAATTGAAATGATGCTGGAAATGGTTTCATAAATAACCTGTGAACAGTACCATAAATGTTGAACAGGTACTGGTACCATTAGATTAGATGTAAAGGGTTAATCTGGGTATTTAACTATGAAGGAAAAAGAAAATGAAAATGTGCTTCAGACTCCAGACCGTGACTGACAGAATGATCTGCACTGGCTTCATAATAGCTGTGGTTTGATTGTGACTGAGGAGTGAGTGAAGGGCTGGACTCTGACTGTCAACACTGAATACTCTCCTCTCACAGATGACAGCTGCCTGCGTTTTATCAGAACACTCAGCAAACGTCCCTCCCTGGATTTATGATTCTTTTGTAAAGAAGGCTGTAGATTTGAGGACGGTCTGAAACACTGTCACACTGAGGACAGAAGGGACTGACAAAGACAAAGACAAAGACCAGGACCAGGCCCAGGACCGACTGTGTCTTCCCTCCTATCACTCTGTCAAAGATTTTTCTGTTATTTAAACCCTACGTCCTGAAGCTCCGTGGTTAATTTTCTCCGTGACAGAAGCTCGTGCATGCTGCAGGTGACGGCGGTTTGACGACGTGTGCATGAGAAGAGAAAACCTTTGACTGCAGTTAGAGGCATGTTGGCAGAACAACAGTCCACCATTATATACGAGTCGAGCCCATTGGTGCCACTGCCCTGCATGTGGAGTGGTGCCCCGCCCCCCACGTTCACCACACGTTCACCACACGTTCACCACAGACACAGCCTCAACAATTGGACCAGTGTGCTGACATCACGTCAACATTTGTTCAGTGTTTCCCGCAGCATTAGTTTGTGCCTCAGTCCAACACTTTTACACTGAGATGAAACTGGTTTGGACCAGTGACTGGTGTTGCCTTCAGATGTGTAGTTGTGTTCAGACCGTGAGCTTTTCACAGACCGTGACCTGGATCAGAGACTTGGCAGGTGGCCAGGCTCTTGGTAGGAGGTGAGCTGACCATTAGTATTCAGCACCGGTGTCAGGCAGGACAGGAGGGAGGCCACTAGGAGGCAGGTTCCTCTCCTCTGTCCCTGCTGTCGTCCTCCCTGTCACCCCATCAAAACTGAGCCGCTCCAGTCGTGAGATAAGAGACAACGCAGCAGAAGTGTTTGACGATGTAGTAACTCTCCGTCTTTTACTGTCAGCTGGATGCAGAGGCCAGTGATCTGCTGAAGGAGCTGCAGAACAAACTCAACACCGTGCTGGATGAGCTCAGCGGAGTGTTTGGCTCCAGGTGAGCATCAGTGCAGAACGCTGCTGGTTTCATTCTCACTCCAGTTAAAGTTTCCTCACCTGGACACTTTCACATGTCTGTTTTTTCTTTTTTTTTGTGAAGTTTCAAGCCTGTGATTGAGGATTGTGTGAAGCAGATGAACCAGGAACTGGTTCAGATGAAAGGTCCAGTTAAAGGCAGCAATCCAGCCATGGATGCAGAGAGCGTTCTCCGGCCGCTCATGGACCTTTTGGATAAAAAGTGGGTAATCACCGATCTGACTTTGACGTTCACCCTGCCGTACACCTCTGTGTTTCTAGGAACATAACTCGAATTAAAATGGTCCTTTTTTATGTCTTCTCATCGTCCAAGAGCCAGAAAAATAAATGTTAATGTCTGTCCAGCCAGGACATCTTGTCGCCCGTGTTCCTACAGTTACAGCGTACAGTGAGGCTAATAATAACAGTCAAAGTTATGACACCCTCACCTGCCAGGCCTCTTCACATTAACTACCAAATATGTGGAATGACCAGCTACAAGCTTGAACATTTTATGGGTTTTTTTTATGGCCCTGCGACTTCACGAAGACAGCGGAGCCTCACAGCAGTGGATTATAAAGTCAAATCTACACCTAATTACTAGACTGCAGACGGTGTGTTCAGGGCCCAGAGGTGAAAGCAGCTCTGTCGCACTGCTGTGCTGAACGCTTCATTGGCAGTGTTTGTATTTTTTACTGTTGAACAGTGGAGCTGGAGGAGGAAACAAAACAACATGTTTCTGCAGCAAAAAGTCCAGACTGAAAACTGATTGAATCTTTTGCTGCTGAGTTTGGTTTTATTTTAGATTATAATGAATTGTTTTGGTTTTTTTTTTGTTTGTTCACTTGTTTTGCTGTTTCTCCCAGCAGTGATGTTCTTGTTGTGTAAACACACAGTAAGCTTTTTTTTTCACACAATAATATAATCTGTCAACAGTCAGATCTGGTGTTAACAGACCCCCTAACGCCCCCTGTGGCCTGAGAGAGGAACAACAATCTACTTAACTTCAACCCAAGTTGGAGAATTGTTTTTTAATTTTTAAAAATTAAATGTGTTAAATGAAAAGTTATTAAATGACATTAACAGGCAAAAAAAATCAGTGTCTAACACAGTCAGACCTGTTCATGACCTGTGTCTCAGCCTGCTGACGTCCAGTGTTGACCTGACACATGACCTCTTCTTTGTCACTTTTCAGTTTAATGTTATTTGCCAAGATTTGTGAGAAGACGGTGCTGAAACGAGTTCTCAAAGAGCTGTGGAAAATCGTGCTGAACACCATCGAGAGAACTATCGTTCTCCCTCCGCTCAGTGACCAGAGTGTGAGTTCACTCTGTCTGTTTGGTTGTTCTTTTTGTCTGTTTGCTCTTCATCTGTTTAAACACACACCTCTGAAGACTGTGTGTCCACTGTGTGTCCACTGTGTGTCCACTGTGTGTCCACTGTGTGTCCACTGTGTGTCCACTTGTCCACTGTCCTGTGTGTCCACTGTGCGTCCACTGTGTGTCCACTGTGAACTGCCAGCCTTCCTTTTTATGCCTGCAAACCTTTAAACCACACACTTTTAAATGATGCCTAATTTGTTTTGTTTTGATCTTTTATGACTTAATGATCTTAATTTTCTTTGCTGTGACTCTTAAACAATCTGTTTGTGCGACAGCAGGGGGCGCAGATGATCTTCAGTGCTGCCAAAGACCTGGGACAGCTGTCCAAACTCAAGGTACGTTTGGTACTCCTTTGTTTACTTTGTTTACTAATCTCCTTTGCTCTATTCACATGGTGGCCACATGGTGGCAGGATAGTTGGTTCTTGTTCAGGATGGATGGTCTGTCTGTACGGAGTTGGAATGTGTGTGAAGTCCAACAACACGCAGAGGGAAACTCTAAATCAACAGGTTGATGTGAGACAAAATAAAGTCAAACCATATATTACCTAGTAAAGGAGCACTTGGTTTTTGAAGATACTCTCCTCAGTCATCAGTTCAAACCACTCTGCTGCCCTCAACTACCGTATATATGATATGATATAAAAACAGCAGGAATTCATCCTCAAACACTGAAGCTACAGATGGGTTTGGGTTTATTTACAAACTTTATTTCCATTTAATACTGTATTATCCAATCGCAGCGAGGTCAAAGTTCACAGGCTTGTGCCAACGCATGAACGTGTGAGCGTTTCAAATGGTTTTCGTATCAGTGATGGAGTTGGTTTTCACTCAGCGCTCTGCTCTTCTGTGTGTGGCCCACGGAGATCATTTGTATGAAATCAACTGAATTACATTCCACCAAAACATTTCTTATTAATAAAAACATTTTAGTTGAGCTGCCATCAGCGGCACAGTGAGCTTTTTATTTATCAGTAGGTGTGTGTGTGTGTGTGTGTGTGTGTGTGTGTGTGTGTGTGTGTTTTTCTCTGCTTGTGAAGAGTGACCTTTAATTTAAGCAGAGGTCACAGTCTGTGACAGACATGAATGTTAAAATGTTGTCAGAATGTTGTCATCTGATGCTTCAGTTGATGCCCACCCCTCTGTCATTCGAGAGGAAGCCAGAAGTCTGACTCCACGCCAGTGTGCGGCCATGGACCTTGTACTTCCCACCATCAAGGTGAGGTTTGACTCGACCTCTGCTGAGTTAAATGAACACACTTGACTCTTTGTTCATATTTTATATAAACTTTTACACCAGTTTAATATAACCTGCTGAAACAACTCCAGTTGTTTATTTATCTTTAAATATCCACTTCCTGCTGCAAATGACTTTCCTTACAACGAGAATAACTTCCAATTAGTTTGAGAAAGTAAATCCGATAAATATTTTAGAAGAACGCCAAAGCACAAATAAACATCCATTCATAATTAACCAGCACAAAAACATGTCCACGACTCTCTGCAAAAATAAAATGTGAAATGTATCAACAATAATTTACTGCCAAAGCCCTGACTATTGTAAAGGGAGAGCAGTTTAGCAGCAGCCGTGGTTGTCGGAAACGGAGGCAACGCTGCGTCATAAAGAGCTAATTGATTCTTCAGTCTCCAAGGAAACTACCAGCAGCTTTACATCCATCATGTCGCTGGAGTTACATCAGTATTCCAATAGGAAGAGTGACTTAACAAACCACGCAGAGGAAAACAGAAGCCATACCATAATAACCTGCATTAGAAAAACGGTGTTGACAAGTCAGTTCACGATAAAGTCCAGGTGTTTCACGTCACTTAAAAGACATGAATACAGATCCTGCCAACGTCAGTGAAGAGGACATGTCCAGGTGTCCATTTTGGTGTGCAGTTTAAACAGAAGACCACTCACCACGGGGTCAAGGGTCAGGTGGTTTTGACCAGAGTTATATTCCCTCAAAGTCTCACCATCCATATCTCCAGGTCCTGGTTTGTATTTCGAGCTGCACTCCCACCTTCCAGGCGTGGGAGCCGTGACGGGACTTGAAAAGGAAACAAAGCTCTGTTTGTCGTTGGCTGTCGTGGTCATGAGCAACAACGTGCTCTTCCTCTGCATGAACGCCACTCAGACTTAGATGTTTGGTAGTGGTTATCTCCGAGGTGGTTATTACTGCTGTCGCTCAGTTCTTTTGTTCCTTCTTTTTAAACATACTGTATATCCCGTCTACATTCCTGGAGAATTAACAACTCTCTCTACACGTGTCATCACGTGTTTATAATTATGTTGGGTTTTTTTAATTATCCTTAACAAACTTTATAGAGATTTATGAATGTTTCTTTTTTTTTTTTGCAGCAATACTTCCATGCTGGAGGAAATGGACTGAAGAAAACATTCCTTGAAAAGAGTCCTGACATGAAGTCCCTCAAATATGCTCTAAGCCTTTACACACAACCTACAGATGCCTTGATCAAGAAATATATATGCACCCAAACCTCTCAAGGTAAAATGTTTTTGGTCAATTAGTTTGATTCACGTTGATTTAACCATCAGTACAAATGAATGTTTGTCTCATACATGGACGTCCTGTGGGTAAATTCATTCCTTACTTTTTCAAATGATTCTTCGCTGCGTCATGTGTTCAAGGAAACCTGGAGTTTCACTGCAGCTCTGCTGTGTCCTCAAAAGTTCAGCTTCTTCCTACACACAACCTGAAAAAACAGGAAGAGTTGAACAAGTTCTGCATGTCCCAGTGGGAAAGTCACGGATCGGAGCGTTAAATATACTGTAGCTGGAGTGAAAACGATCTGATCTGTTTGACAGTTTCATTCAACTTTATATATTTATATATATATAAATTTAGAGAAGAAATTTAAATAAAAGTTTGAATATAATTTTTCTGACATCACCTAAAGGTTCTTGGTTAGACTTTATGTTCAGGACTGTGTCTGCCTGACATCGTTTAGAGAACGTGGCGTATCATGGATCCCACTGCTGCGGTGATGACGGCCATGTTTGTGGCGTTTTGTCAGAGTCAAGTCTTAGCTGTGGCTCCGTTGTCTGTAGTTGTTCGTTTCAGTCCTGACTTTTTGACCAACACTGACTCTGAGAGTCGGATCAAACCATCTGAGCTATCGTTCTATAACGGGTTCATAAGAATACTATCGTCGTGGAGACTTTTCTGGGGGTCTCCACTGAGTGAAAGGATTTGGGGTCTGGAGATGGGATTGAAGAAAAGAATTAGGATTGATCATATATTTACAGGAGCAGAGGAAGGAAATGCATTACTGTCATGAGAAACAAAATACAAAAACTTGTACAGTGTCTGTGTGTGTCTGTGAGTGTGTGTGTGTGTGTGAGAGTGTGTGTGTGGCTGTTTTGTGCCACATTATTTTTCCAGGATTATATTTGCTGAGGACATTGCAGTAATTGGACTGTGTAGGTCATTTGTCTCTTTCAAGTTAAAACCAACAAACAAATAATAACCAACACATACAGTATATAGATGTGTGTGTGTGTGTGTGTGTGTCCTCTTCACCCTGAAGGACTTCACATCTCTCTGCGTTTCCCACTTTTGTGCTCATTAGAAAAAACATGTAGACGATGTCAAGACAAATGTATATAATTATGATTTGTGTAAATTCCCAAAGTGCTCTTTCACGCCCCCTGTCTGTCATTTGTCTCTGACCTCATTCACCTTCTCTTTATAGTTTGTTTTCCACTCACACTCTATAAGAAGGCAGATGTTCCGGAGCAGGAGCTGCAGCCTCGTGAGGCGATGCAGCTCCAGCTCCTGGTTGTCTGACGGCAGCGGGGAAACGGTCGTGAGCCGTGAGCCGTCAGCAGAACAACAGGCTCCACGGTCACAGCAAGTCGTTACGTAGTAACGTCGTGGTCGTAGGTGGTTGATGTTCATTGGCTCAGAAGACAAACACATGATTTCTTTGAACTGTGTGTTGGTTGGTTTAACAGACTTCAGGCAGTGTTTGTATATTTGCCTCATGCTTCAGTGAACATCCAGTAACATCCAGGGTAAACGTGTGTTTGTTTATGTGTAAATATCTCATCAACTCTTGCTGATGTTTGAAGTCATTCACCTTAGTGTAGAAGGAAAAGAACGTAGAGTTCCATACGTTGTTGTTTCCCCCTCGTATCTGTTACTGTTTCTTTTTCTAAAAGCCTTTTTTCTTATTCCTGAAACAGTGGCTGTTCACGTTCACACCGACTTCTCTGCTGTTTTTATAAATCATCAAATACGTTCTCTTCATCCTCTGACTCTCTGTCGCTGCTCCGTCCATCACATCGTTTTCAGCCAATAGCTGCTGTTGACAGTGGTTAACATCAGCCTGTTAATTTCCCACAAGTCTGTGCCTTATTTGTGCAGAACCACTGTCTGACGTCGGTTCTGAGACACATGAATATCATTACCATAAATCACAGCCTCGTTTCTTCATCACCAGCTGTAACGGCCACTGGATGTTTGGCACTTATTGATTCTCAGTTGGATCGACTTCCCCTTCATCAACAACACTTTGCTGATGTTGTGCACAGAACCTGTTTGTCTTGGCTGCAGAAACTGGGCCGCAGCCACAGGCTGGAAAACAACGTCAGAAATTCCACGTTGGTTTTATCCTGACGATGAAAAGAGAAATCCATATTTCATACAGTCTGATGGAGATTCTGCCATGATCAGTTATAAATGTTCAAGTTTAATAGTTTAATATCCAGTGACACTTGCAGTCCATGCCCAGCGCCCCCTACTGGAGTGTAAATAGACAATGTACGGATTTTATCCTCAGCATTGGGCAAAGGCCTGAAACCCGATGTCGATGTCCCACTTTTGGGTCATGGCCCCCTTGTTGAGAATCTCTGCTTTAGTAGTCTGTAATAATAGGCTGTTTCCTGACACACACACACACACACACACACACACACACACATGCACCAGTGTGTCAAAGATGAACAGCTTGTTCAATATCTCACCTCCATAAACACAAAATATAGGACCAAAATATAAACCTATAAAAAATGTTTCCACCCCCGTCCACTGTACACACACACACACACACACACCATATGCACACAGATGGAGGTTTAAACAAAACACAACAAATACTGAAGCCTACTGTAGGACGGTGGGGGGGGGGGCAACATTTCTCTAACATCCATAACATTATTATTTAACAGTTATGACGCGGTTTGTTTTCAGAGACAGTTTTTCAAGTTTTCAGTTTCATGCCAACCAATCCGATGTTTGTTTTTCTGTCGACTCCAACAGTTGATGGAAGCTGCCTCTGAAATTTAAACCAGACTCGATGCTTGTTCTGTCTGAGGTGAAAGGAACCCCCGCTGTATCTGTACCAGCGTTCCACAGAGCAGAATTCCAGACGTTCCCAAACTCTTAGTTTAAGGTTCCGTCCTTTAGGTGGACAGACTGTCCCAGCTTCTGTCTCTCTGCACTCTGATGCCGTCTCTCCATCCTGTCCTGATCTTTCACTATAGCTGGGTGGCATTTCCACCCCCCCTCCCCCCCCGATCTCTCTTTGCTGAATTTCATTTAGACTTCTTTCAATTTCCTTTTTTGGTGCTGGTCCAGGTCAGTCATCTAACGGCTCGGTGGGGGAGGTGTCGATGCAAGTGAATCTCATCTCTCACCCTGGCACTGGAGAGCACAAAGTCAGCGTGAAGGGTGAGTTTGTCCTTTTTTGCATAATTTATCTTTCACCGATTCTTTCCCCGTCTTTGATGGTCAACGGGAAGATTTTTTTTTTTGTATGAAGTAACAAAAAAGACAGAATGGCTGTCGTTTCTCTCTGGCTTCAGATGCTTTGGTTCTTTTTGTATTAAGCTGTTTATATTTCTGCTCATAAATGCGATCCATCATGGCTTCATTGATGACCGGTCAGTCTGTTGGCTGGACTGAAGTATCTCATCATCTGTTGGATAAAAAAACGATAATATTAGTTTCAGTGAAGATGAATCTTTGACAGGCGGCTCTTCTACTCTTTCTTCTTTTACAAAATGACTTTGACGTTTATTGTATTTTTTTATGACCATGGCTTTGTTCAAGTGTTTAAGTACTTTTTATAACTGGACCGTAGCTAAGGACGCTTCTTTGCTAAGAAAGCATTTTTCTCTTTTTATCGTTGGTACTTCTTTGATGACAATTATCCAACATTTTCTATTTCAAACATACAGTAAATGTAAAAAACTCATCTTGGTGGAGTTTGTAAACATGGGGTGTTTTTTCCCCACATATTACTAACATACCCAATGTGTCATACTGTGTCATTTAAGTCATGTTCTAACTTGGCTGTTCAGTCATGTAGTAAATGTTGATGATACGTACATTACCTTCAGGTTTGACATTGACATGAAGTGTCGACTTTTGTCCGACTTGTATTTTAAATGTGGTGCTCAGTCGACTTATTGACTGTTAGGATCTCCTGGAACGTTTGTTTCACATCTAAAAAGTCGTTAAGATCTCCTGGAACGTTTGTTTCACATCTAGAAACTTTGAAGTCTGTCTTCTGTGGAACTCCTTTGTTGCACCGACAGTTTCTCAGTTCGTTGGTTGACGACAGAACCAGTGTGGATATATTTCACTCTGTTGACGAGCTCTTCTTCTGCGTCTACAGTGGTTGCGGTGAACAACATCGTGTGGCAGACCAACGCCATGTTCCGCCCCTTCGTAGAGGTCAACGCTGTGGGACCACACCTGGCTGACAAGAAGCGAAAATTTAGCACCAAGACCAAGAACAACAACTGGTCACCAAAGTACAATGAAACATTCCAGTAGTGAGTCATTCTTCCTCCTCGGTGTCAATTATTACACTGTTATTAAATAAGCCAGAAGTAATAACAAAGTGGTAGATGTTGAAGAGCAGAGCTCAGTTAAAAAAAGAATTAGGAATCTGCACACGTCTAAAGCCTGCGGGAACCTATAGACTGCATAATACCCATAATACCTCGTGTCAAAATCCTCCAGTCTTTCTCAGCAATGATTAGACTGCAGCAGCAGCAGCAGCAGCAGCAGCAGCAGCAGCAGCAGCTGCGTTTCCCCAATCATATATAAAACACACCCCAAAACAAAAAGGATT